GCTTCAGAGGTAAATTCAGTCCTCAACTCGGTTTCCTTCAGATGAAGTCTTTTCTTTCGCTTCCTTTCATCCAAATCCTTCAGCATAGACCGCACTACTGATAGCTTCGAGTCCRATACAGCAGAAATCTCYGTTAGTTGTTCCGACGAAAACCCATCCATCTGATCGTCTATGGCACTCTGGACATCAGTAAGAAAGTCGGAGAAATCGACCTTCCTCAGTTTCCCGCCGCGATTGTCCCCTTCGTTGAGGCCCTTATACCGGTTTATAATACGTGTGATTTCACATGGATCCTCTGGCCATATCTGGGGCTTCTCCAGGTTTTCACCCTGGTAAGAAATCATCGGGGCATCAATACCGCATAGAGTAGACAACTCATATGTCTTCTTCTTTAAGCCCCGCGCTCTATTCAAAAACGTTGATGAATTTGTGGACACCATTTTCTGAAAATCGCAATCTAAATTTGGAGCAGAGCAACGAGAGCAACGAGAGCAACGAGAGCGAGAGATGAGATGGTAGCGATTAGACTTACAAGAACGAAAATGCGGGAGTAACCGACTTTTAATGAAACTATCGGGACCCGTACGATGTACGGGATTGGGTAAAAAATGTGATAATGCATTTATAAATGCTTCTAATTAAATACTGTAATTAATAATATGAATTAATTAATTAATACTGTATTACAATAACATATTAATATTATACTGTAATTAAAATTATGTTRTAATTAACTAAATACAAAAATACTACAATTAATTAAATATATACTATATTAATTAATTAAATGAAATACTGTATTATTCTAATACTGTTAATTATTATTATTATTTTATTTATTTAAAAAAATGAAAAAGATGTTTAAATATTTATTTTTTATTTTTTAATAAAAAACGCAAATTTCTGAAGTGGATAACTGCATCTTAGAATTCAGTAATAAATATTTATTTTTTATTTACTTTGCATGCACGGAACAGGACTCCAGCTATGATACCGTAATCCAAGAAACTGATGACCAATCAACCAGGATCATCTAATTAGACAGTGTTACGTTGATCCCTGACTCATCCTCCCCTGATCGTTGTGGTCAAGAATATGGTCCACGCTTCATGTTCTCCCTGGGTATCCAAACTCTACCTTACATAAATATGGAAATAATTAAACTAAAATACAACACTGAAAACATTATCCATATTGCATTTGGAGGGAAGACCTTTTTTTTTTCTTGCACTAGAGTGTGTAACTGTATCCTTGGGAGATATAGCAACTTGGCTAGCGCATCTTGCATTTGGGAGAGGGTTTCTCTCTGTTCTGATTCTTTTTCATAAATTTCTCTGATCAATAAATAATACATGAAAAATTCATGCATCATCCATGCTTTGATCATTGTCATTGTCACCTTCATAATATTCATCATCTCGCTGGATTTGCTTGTCTTGTGTGTGCTCTGCAGCAGCATCAAAGTTTTTGAAGTTAAGAACAAACAAATTTGGGCAGTATGTTATATATGAACATGCAGTGGTATCCTTGCTTAATATATATTAATATACAGAAAAGAAACTATACTGAAGAATAGCAAAAGAATTTATTATGGGGTGTTACTTACGATCCACTCGTTCATCTGGGTTCTGCTCATCTTCATCAAAATCTGGGATATAGAAATCAGGTGGAACCTGCAACAATCATTATCATCATTCGTCAA